CAATGCTAACTTTGCTAAACTCAAACACTTGAAACTTGATTTAGAGACGAAAAATTCATTGAGATTGATTGAAGTTTGTTGAGGGTTTTTTTTAGAGGAAAAGAAAATGAAAGAAATAGTTGAAATATGTGACCATGCAACATTCTAATATGGAAAGAAAAGTTTCGCACGTGCACATCCGAATTCACCTTTCAGGATGTTTCGCATGTGCACATGCAAAACCCCCTTAATATTTTAAAATCCAACATTAAAGTATTAAAACATGCAAAATAAGGGTGTTTTCACATATGCACTTCCGACACATCCTTATATGTGAATTCAGAGATGCACATGCAAATGGTATCTTTGGATTTTCAGTGGTGAAAATCACCACTACTAGATGTAAAGAGAAATTTTCAATATTTTTCAAAAATTCAAAATTTTCGTGATCAATCGGAATTTTTCAAATCTATGTGGAGATATTGGAAATTTCAAGGCGACACCGGAAATTTAGTGAGACAATAAGGAATTTCCAGTTTATTTGCGAAATATCCAGTATTTTGTACCAGAATTAATTTTGAAATTTCTCGTGTAAACATTTTTCTTTTGTAGCAAAATTTTCAAAATTCCCGAGACTTTACAAGATACCGAAAATTTTGAAATTTCTGGTAGTTCAATTTTTTTTGAAAAATACCAAAAATTTAGAAATTTTCGGTAGTTTTTATTTTCCTTTTTTTCTTCTTATTTTGCAGTGAGGACCAGGGATAAAGACGGTAATTGTTGCAGACATATAGACTGATAGAGCAGAAGCTTAGACCCGGGATGATGAGGCACACGCTTCTGAGCTACGGGCTGGCCGACGTCCTCCGATTGATTCTCACCAGAAACGAATGGCTGAACAGCAGGCTCAATTTCGTGCACCCCGTCGTCGGGGATTAAGAGTTTCCACTATTGAGGAGCCAGCTGGGGTGCATATTATAGAGCCCGTTGTTGTGGAAGTACATGCTTTTGTTCCCGTTATGGAGCCAGATGTTGCGGAGGTACATGTTCTTGTTTTTGTTGTGGAGCCGACAACAACAGAGGCTATTGAAGAGGTACATATTCCTGTTTCTGATGTGGAGTCAGAGATTGAATAGGTTGTGGAGCAGAAGGTTGTGGCTGAGCTCGTTGACGAGGTGTCCCCCACTGCTACGCACGCCACGACTCGTGCTGAAGGAGCGTCAGGTGCTGAAGATCGCTTCTCATGGTTCAAAGTTAATGAACTTCCTTGAGAGTCATATGCTTGAGGAGGTCAGAAATATCGTTAGAGATTTTCATCTACTTGAGTTTGCTGAGTGCTCCTTGACCATGTTAGACGCCTCCCTGTTATTTACTTTTGTTGAGAGGTGGCACCCAGAGACAATCATCTTTTCATCTTCCATTTGGGGAGATAACTGTCGCATTAGATAATGTCGACCAGTTGTTTCACATTCTAGTTGCTGATACATTCTTCACACCAATAGTTATTCATGCGACGATGATGTGCATGGTTGTGGATGATTTGGAGGTGTCTGAGAATGACGTGCTAAAGGAGTTTGGTGAAACCCAGGAATTTCACCTTCGAATGTCTTGGCTGAAAAAGTTGCATGGGAATCTTGTGGAGGCACGTAGGTACCAGGTTACCACTAGGGCGTGCGTGTTACATCTGGTGACATGTTCTCTCTTTGTGAACAAGTCTGGAATTTACATTGATGTTTGATACTTGTCTCTGTTCAGCACACTTGACACTCCATGTTGGGCTTAAGGAGTGGCAGCCTTGACCATGTTGTACACGACACTTGACGTTGCTTCTCATGCTGAGACCTGACACCTTGCTGGTTACCTTAGCCTGTTACAGATACACTAGATTTTATTTGATGATTTTTATTAGTTATTTGAGTGTATTTATTTAATGGTTTTTATTTATGCAGAATTCGATATATGAGCACTTCCCTCACATCTGCTACCGTTCCATGTGAGGAGATGGAAGGGCAAACAAGTTCATCAATGAGATTTGATGGAGTACATGAGGAGGCTAGATGCACTGATGTTAGAGGATGTCGTCTGCACACTACATACATCTTATCAGGTCATACCATCGACTGCAACATCTGATGTTCTGGAGCCTTCACGTGCCAGGGTTTCTGTCGAGCCACCACCACCACCTCCGCAGGTGATCAGGACAACTGCCTACAATTCATCGTCGTTTATTTAGATAGCTTCATGGGTTTGGTAAACCCTGAGGATAAGGTTTATACATGTTTAGCTAGGTTAGCCAACGTAGCCCGTGGAAGGCCTATGTAGATTTGTTTTATTATAGTTGTATTTTATGTATATTTTATGACACACAGACATCTTATTTATTGCATAATCTTTTGGCGATTACATATTTCGATTCGATGATAAACATAACATAACATAATACAACAAACATAACCTTAAAACAACTAAACATGAAAACGTAGGCACTACCAGATGACTCTGGACGTTTCAGGATCTTCATTATGTCGTCGACGAATTTTCAGATCTCCGCATCAAATTCGATCAGACTTTTAATTATCCTACGGCGAAATGATTTCCACATGGCCTTCACATCTGCATCATTCTTCTACTCGATTAGGTTGTATTTCACCCTTCCATTTGTATCAATCCAATCCTCCTGAAACTCAACCTTTATCACCCTTTTGTTATCAGAATCAGTCAGCAAACCATTCAACGTTTCTTTCAAAGTGGCAAGGGATTCAGAGCCATCTGAAATCTTGAATTCAACAACATGATTGCATCTGTTGTAATACACTTCTGCATTAATCAGATACTCAAGAAGAGACACTTTTTGAGATATCTTACCCTATAACCTGAAACTCTCATACAAATGATGATGCATTCTAGACCACACAAATATGTCATTGCAATAAGAACCCTCCAAATATGTCAATAAAATCCCGACCGTTGAAAAAACTTGAGTACATAACCTAACGAAAATTTCAGTATAACTCAAATTTTCGATACTGCGACATAAATTTGAAGTTTCCGATTTACCGGAAATTTCAAATACAATATCGAAAATTTACTCTTACCAAAAATTTAGTACGAGTGTACCGGAAATTTATTATGTACCAGAAATTTTATCCCTTTTACCGGAAATTTTATCCAGAAATTATTTGTATCTCATCGAGGATAAAACTAAAATAAATAAAATTAAGAGTGACATGTTTAATTTAGGAGTTGGCATGTAAATTTCTAGAATTTCAAGATATTAACGGAAAAACACTAGGAACATGATATACCAAATCTTTTATGGTAGGTAGTTGTTATTGTTGTTTTTAGTATTCCACACATTTAAAAAGTAGAGATAGATAAAGATCTGGCCATCTTAAAGCAATAGTACAGCTAAGTTTGATCAGATTTGCTGTCAAAAAGGTGCTAGTACATGCACCTGATCTGTTGTTGATCAAGGGACCATTAATCCAAATAAATTAAAAATATCTTTAGGTACCCTAAAGTTTTTTTTTTTTACTAAAATAAAGGCACCCCCTAAGTTTTCAGGTTAGAGGTGCTTAAAAAAAACTAGTTATTGATAATTAAATTCATATCCAAATTGTTTTATTTTTTAAAATCCAATTCAAATATTAAATATTGAATTTGGTGGTCCATTTATGGTCAAAGTGGTAACCGGTACTCATAAAATGGTTATTGTGTATTCAAATTTTTTCTTCATCAAATTTTTCTGCTTTTCATTTTTCACACTTTCTCAAGAAAATAAGCTCTACACATTTTTATAAAAATTGAATGATGTTTAACCTTTTATTTCAAATGACTAATTATTGAATAAATGTAAAAATGTTTAATTATAATTAAAAAATATGCAAACACTCTCAAATAAATTGAAAGATATAGTGGACTAAACATTGAAAAAGCAAGATATATTATTATTACTCTAGAAGACAAATTTAAATTTGAAAAAAATTTATTTAAACTTGATCCATTTTCATTCAATATATACATATATTATATAAAAGAAAACGAATGTGCACAGTAAATTAATTAATACTATCTAAATATTAATTGATTTTTCTTTTAGGATTGATAAAACAAACAAAAAATCATTTAAACATAAAAATGTTTTAAACAACAGTATGTGACCGTGAGAACGGCCGCGACAAAACGTCGATACAAATACCGTTATATCCGTTTTATATTAAAAAATGAATTATGATTAATAATTTACACCGCGACGAACACAATCAATGTCGTGACATCTCTATCGACCAAAATTGCAAAAACTGCAATACGAGCGCGATTATTTTTTAAAATCTGCTTTAAATTAAATTAAGGATGTGCTTTGTTAATGTTTAAAAAAATTACTACTAAATTAGTTTTAAAATTTTATTAAATAAAATGAATTGAATATAAATTAAATTATATTTAAATAATTTGAATTAAAATTAAAACTGGTTTTAAACCGGTTTTAATCTGGTTTAGAATCAATTATGTCTTTCAAATCGGTTTTTGTAATTAATGGTTTGGTTTGTAAACCATAACCATAAAAGTGGATTGGATCACAATATGTGGTAACCATGCACAGCGCTATTTCAGGCTTTAGTATTATTCCAAAACAAAAAAATTGAGGTTTGATGATTTGTTTAAAATTTTGAAATTTGATTCACTTGAATATTTTTTCTGTCAAAGGATTCTTTCTCACTATGAAACAGTCACTTCCACCCAAAAATCGATTTAATAAAAAATCATGCAAAATCATTATTTGTACTATGTCGAAACATATTGCTATCAAGGATTTTTCCTCACTGTATCATACATTAAACACCTATGAGTAACCTAACCAGCACTAAATTTAACAAGAATAGGGTTTCCATATTTGATTTTTCTTTACATAATAAGCCCCTCAAATTCCATGAAAGAGCACCAAGTAAATTGACTATTCTCTTGTGCTATATCAGCGTCTACTGCAAAATTTGAGGCTTTAACCTAAGTTGCATACTTACCTATCTCTGTGGGAGATGAAATATTAGTTCATGTCCTTCATTCTCTGGAGTTGCATTACTAATAGTTGAAACATCAGTTGTCTGAAACTTTTCGAAAGGTACAATCTGAACATAAAAGGAACATGAAAAGCTAAGCAACCCATTTAAAGTTACTTGAGATTGTTATCAGAAAGAATTAACTCCACAGTACTTGATCGGTGTTTGAACCGTTAGCTGCAACTGTTTTCAACCTTTTAGCCATTGGCACGCTGCTGCTTGAACTGGCTACTTCATCTTTAAAGTTTTGATCAGCAACCTCTGATATGCCAAATAAAAAAATAAACATTAGAAAATCCCAATTTCTGTGCAAAAAACTATCACAATCATGTCATGTTCAGAAATGATTTAAAAGCACAGCGCGGAAGAACCAAAGAAATAAATCATCGTTCTCGAATACACTCATTTTCAGGACCAGAAAACTTATTTGATACACGTTTTAGATATTGATATGTATTACTTGACATTACAAGCATTGCATTACTGAAGACCGATACTTCAGTCCTTTAATAATTCAGTTTACTTGAGACGTTGATTTAATCTTATAGAAAGGCATAACATATGTAAAAACATAATGTCCCAACAAACTTCTGTCAGTCATTTTAGTCAATGTATATGACTGATCCAACCAATAAAAGAAAATTATGTGAAACTATGGGTTTGTACAACATGTAGACAATGACTTAATTAGAGAAGGAGAACAAGGGCTCAAGTATCACAGCAGTTCTGTATAGAGATCTCTGGAAGACTCGATAAATCATCCATGTTCAATACCCTACTGTCAAAGCATAAAACAAATGTAGTTCAGGCTACCTGTAGTACTGCAACCCGATTCTCCATAGAATGAGCATTGCTTCTCCAAACAACTTCTTGCTGACTTGTTGGCAAATGATGAACTCCCACTGGCATGAATTTCCTCATCAGAAAGTAATCCATGGTCATAGGTACAAGGCTCTCTCAAACTACAAGCTTTATCTAGCATTGCATGTCCCGGTTCACTTCCTGTAAGAACATGAGAATCAGCTGTGCTCTCTAACACGGGAGAAATTTTTTCAAGGTTGATCTTCTTCTGGCAGCCATCTTGTAGATCCAGAGACTGAAAGAGGAAAAAAGGGATTAAAAAGCCTGATTATAAGGAGGAAGTTACAATACATAAATACAATGGTGACACTAAATTGGAATTTATCTCTGACCTGTCTAGGAGTAGTAGGTGTATTTTGCAGAGTTCTACATTTATATGTTTCATCAGCATTAGTGTGAAAGCTCCAACCACGTAAATGTACAGAACGATGCAACTCATTCACAAATGAGGCCTCTAAAGAACTCAGATATAATTTATGCAGTTGATCTGTCCATCGTCTAGACTTGTCCTGGTACAAAATTTAGAATTAGGTATATCCTTGCCAACTAAATGAAATGAAAATAAAAGCTTCTAAATTCACAAGCAATCAAAAACAAGGTCCAAGGACGGACACAATTTATTATTGACAGATTCAATCTCAAAGAGAGCAACGGAAAAAACCTCAGCTACTTACAATCACAGTAATCGATTTCAGACCCCCGAATTTGACCCCGACACTAACACGGAAACACCGGTAATAATTTAAAAAAATTAAAATAAAAAAAAACTAATCTCAAATGTCAGTGCAAGTGTCTGATACCAGACACGATTCAGAGGTGTCCGGGATACATAGATCCTATCCACGTTACGTTAATACCTATTAAGCAATTTCAGATCTCCTCATCGCCATGCAAAGCACAATTTGGAACTTAATTAATTCCTATAAAAGAAACACACAAAGCGCTCAAAATACCTAAAAAATCCAAACGTCTATTTACAGAAACACTCTCAATCCAGACACGCAAACAAAACTCAGCAATTGGAAAACGAAAACGAAATTCGAAAACCTAACACCAGTTCCGTAAAATAAGTGGTTACCTGAAACGGAGCGTTATCGACGGTGGTGGCGGAGGAGTCAGAGTAAAAACCGGAGCGATTCAACTCGGAGAACGACGGCGAGTGGAAATCACGACGGAGACGGAGATCCTCTTCCATGATCGGAATTTCAATTAGAAATGAAATGAAAGAAAAAGAAACCCTCATAGATTGTTCGGTTGAAGAAGAAGCATAAAAAAGAAAAGCTCCACATGGCGACGCTTTTACACGTGTCAGTGTATTCTTTTGGTGCCACGTAATCAAGGAGAAAATATCTTGAGGTAATGTGAGCCAGATATTTTTTGGGTTTGAGGTAATGGCGCGTGTAAGTCGTGAACAATTTTCTCGTATCCGGAAATTGTCACATGGATATACATGATCGCTTCTGTCAGATCCCGTTGGGTATTTGCCCACGCCACTGCTGGCTCGTCTTCAACTCTGAGATTCATCAAGTCAATTTCCATTTTTTGTTTCTTTTATTTTAGTAAATAGTACTTCCTCATATTACAGTATATTAAAAAAATTATTTAAATATAATTAATTTTCTTTATTTCATGTATAATTAAAGTAAAATTTATTATAATATTTTTATTTATATTTAACATTTATATTTAATGAACCAACTATTAATATTAAATAATTTTGAATTAAACTAAAAATATAATAATAATATAAATATTAATTAGTTTAAAAGTCAGAAAGTATTTATCTTTAATTTTTAACTTTTAAAATTTTTTTTATATCATTATCAAAGTTATGTAAAAATTTAGATTTTTTAAATATAAAATCAATTATATTTTTTAATATTTATAAAAATGATATATATATATATATATATATATATATATATATATATATATATATATATATATATATATATATATATATATATATATATATATATATATATATATATATATATATATATATATATATATATATATATATATATATATATATATATATTAATAAGTTATTCCAGTCCAACCTCGCAGGGATGATTTCGCCTTCAACAAAGACTTAATCCTAACTAAACTGATTACATAACAACCCACAACAAGTCTGATCAATTTTATTGGTACCCCCAATAAATTTATCGATCCTTATTATAAATCCACTCAAGTTACAACAGGAGTCTTCTTGAGCTAAGACCTTCACTCAGTCTCTCAAAGTAACATTCAACAATAGTTGAGTGCTTTCAGTGTATTACAGATTTGCTTCTTGTAAGTAGATTATACAAACTTTTCAGTATAATGAAGAACACCTAAGTGTTCTATTGCAAGATACGAGTAATAACTCTTTGCTTATTTATAAAACGATACACATATGATTTCTCTACAGAGTTTACATAGCGTTTTGGTGTAGTTTTGTTGAGCTTGATTTGAACCGATAGCTTTGTCGTTGTAATGTAGTTTATTACTTTTCTTCAGCTTCCAAGTCTTTCTTTTATAGCTTGTAAAAGAGATCTGTTGAAAGGATAAAAAGGTAAATCAGAATCTAGTTTGTTCTCAACGGTTATAATGAGAGTAGTCAGTGTCAAGTACAAAAGAATTGTCCTTGTGCCACTTTAGAATAGTAGAGGTCCCTGTCACGTTATGTACCTTTTGTACATTATCACACGTTAACCATTTTGAACTTTTCTTCTTGATCTACAGAGGCTTCAGATATTTGAATGTTGAGCGTTGAAGCTTGTTGTAGAAGAATCTTTCTTGATCCTTAGAACCTAAGTCTTGGAGTCTTCAGAACTTTGTCACATAGAGCCTTGTCTTCAGAGTCTTTAACACTTGGTTGTAAGAACTTCCTTTTCTTCAGATCATTAGAACTTGTTCAGCAGAACCTTGTTCTTCATAATCTTCAGAACTTATAACACACAAAAGTAAAGATTTAGAAGGCCTCCAAAGCTTAAGCCCAAAGCCACAATCAGAACTTTTTGTATTAAAGATCCTAAGACGCGTTGCAGAAGATCAGTTCAAAAGCTTGACTTTACCGAAACATGTAACCACATGTTTTCTTCCAGAGTGTATGTTCAGAACCTGATGACGTCACACGCCTTGTACCAAAGTCAGAATATTATAGCAGCAACTACACACTAGACGAAACCATTAATGTATACAATTATTCTCTAAGATAACATGTGAAGTTATCATCAAAATCTCAAGGCCAGGTGTAGGAAACACTTCTTGTTCTTACAATCTCCCCCTTTTTGATGATGACAAAACCATGTATTTTGATAGAACAATTTATACAGGATAATCACCGTAACTGATAAATTCATAGTTAAGCTCACAACTCCCCCTGAATCTGTTAAACCCAATATTTTATTTAAGCTTGTTTAGAGTCTTCCCTTGAGCCCAAACTCACAAAATAAATTTTGAGTATTGTTATACCATAATTTTTGCCCCTAAGATTTCTCATCATCTCATTTTTATTAATATATCAAGATCACACATTAGGGTTGGTTCTCTCTTTCTACTTTATCCTATCTTTAAGTTTTCTCTTGAGGGATTACCAAGCACCTTAAATTGTGTATATTGTCCATGTGTTCTTTTAACTAACATTAAAATATGTATAGATGTCTCTTTGAATGTTCATATTATAGGTGATGGCACAATTACATCCATCTCACCATCTCCTTGCACATAAGGTTAAAACTTGGGCTTTGAACTTAATCAGGAAATCTCTGACTTTTTGGGAAAGACTTGATTCTATACTTCTCCACATGTTCATAAGCATCTATGATTGGAAGACTGATCATAAATTTTGATTATAAGAGGTTCAATTGATCAAAAGGGGTAAAACAATCATTTTGTCAAAAGTCAATCAAAGTCAACAGTTAGCCAAGTGGACTTTTGGCTAACCATCAATTCATTGTTCCTATTTTCATATTTCATGGTCAATGGTGGCACAAGATCAAGTAGAAGTGTTGAATTAGAGATAACTTGTCAAAGAATTTACTTGAAGTTTTGAATTTTTCTAAGTGTTCATAGTACTGAACTTTGATTGATAATAACTTTCACAATTTTTATTAAAAATGTACAAACTTTATATGGTTGGGAAGAGGAGGAAATGTTTTTCAATTTTGTCCTTGACACAAAAAGTTCAAAAAGTGAAAGGAGAATAAGTTATTTTCCTTAGAAGATTCTTGACACACAGTAAATTTTCAAATTATATACACAAGGCCTGATTTTTTCATGATCATTTTTGAGGTGTCAAATGGATTCAACTCAAAAAACTTTCAACATCAAAATTAAAGTTTGAAGTCTCATTTACAATTTTGGTTCAAGAATAATTTCATTTAGTTCAGTATTGAGAGAGATACCATGCTTAGAATTTGAAGCCTTAAGATGTCATTTTGCCAAGTCACGCGCGTGCCAGACCAGGCATTTCATCAAACAGTTCATGGGCACACGTTCATCATCATTTTTCTCTTTGAAGTATTCATTATTTTGAAAAGTGTCCAGCATCAAAGATCAAGCTCCATGTGTTATGAATAACTTTGCTTCAAGAATTTTCTCAAAATAATCCTTACATTTCAAGATATGGTCATGGGAAGTAGGTGACATGAAACTAAATTTTTGCCCAGCACCAAGGCATGTCGCGCGTGCATACTAGGCTAGCATTTCATCGAACATGTGATGTGCACACATTCATAGCTATTTATCTCATTGATTTAAGCCTTATTTTGAAAAATGTTGAACATGAAAGTCAGAGCTTGTCATGTTCTCTCTAACTTCGATTCAGTGTTTGTCTCATTTCATGCAATTTGGAGGGAGATATTAAAGTTATAAGTTGGAAGCATGAAGTTACTAAGAAATGCTAGGTGTTGCGGTAGAAATGTTTAAGACTAAGCCATTGGATTGACTTGACTCGTACAGATCAAAATAAAAATCGTCATCGCGCTTTATTGTTTCCAAAAGAATGGGAAAAGAGTGAATAACCCAAAAGAAGGGGAAAAGATTCTAGGTAAGGGGGTTGGTTATGCAAAGGGAAGGTATTAGCACCCTAAAAATCTATGGTACTCCGCAGGAACCTATTTGTAAAAATCTGTATATTTTGGCTATAAAATATTGTGTAAAAATAGATTGTGGTGATGAGAAAAGAAGTATTTTTTTATGATTTTTGCACCTGCCGCGGTTGCGAACCTTTAGTGCCTACGTACCACCTTCTGTGCAATAGGGGATCAGGGTACACGTAGTTCCTCTTCGAAAATTTTAAAACACATGTGTGTTGGTTAATTTTATGAGATAAGACATCATCGTCATTGTCCGTGTGGAAACCATACTTACTACCCACAATTATGAGAATGGAGAATTTACGTCATCTCAAAGTGGAGGATATGGCTTAGATTTTAAAATCAACAATGCCTCACTCAACACCCAAGTGAAAAATATCTCTCTTCACTATATATTGTAGAAGTATAGTTGTTTGCATCAATACAAGGATTGACAAGATTCCAATCTTTTGAGAAAAGTTTTTAAAGATAAAAGCCAAAATAGAAAAATAGTTTGGATGAGATTTATTGACTTTTAGTCTTCTCACAAAAATGTCAAAGTATTGTTAAGTTGATTGAAATTTGTTTAAGAAATGATTTTTGAAAATGCATGGACATAAGTCCAAGTTTATTATGAAAGTGGTTCATGTTTTAAAACAAGAAGAGTTTTCAAAAGGAGAGAGAAGATTTTTGAAATTAAAGAATATGGGAGGAGATGAAGGGACTATCCTAAAGCATAAAGGTAAAAGCTAGGGAAAAGGACCACCTAACCAACAAGAAGCCAAAATTTGACACAATGAGTCAATGTAAAATTTCCATTCTTTGGATTTGATACCAAGCAAACAATTAATAAACCTCTTAAGAATCCTAAGCTTCAATTTGCATTAAGTCTTCATAAAAAAATTGGGCAGAGTAACAGTTGTACACAGATGAATTCTAGATTACAGACAAAGCATGTAACCATAATAACATGCACACAAAAAAAAAAACCCAATGTCTTAGGGTAAAACCCAAGAACTCCAGACAAAATGACAATCAAGGTCACAAGGTCTCAAAGTAGGCCACATCTCCTAATCCTAAGTCCAAGAAGTCCATAACTCCAAAATGTCAAGGATAGTAACCAAATAGT